TGAAAGTGTATTGTACACCAACACAACGGAACACCTTTATTAATCATGGTGTAGAAGAATACTTAATGGAAAGAGAAAATGGGTATTATGTTGTTACATGAGAAAGGCAGATTACAGAAATTATATGTACCATTCAATTATATAAAACACATAGAAAGAAGAGTGGAAATTAGTGGTTTTCTCTGGACAGCTGGATTAGAAATAATTCTTTTATTCTTGTTTTTGTTATCTATAGATTTTCTGTGTTGAAGCTACAGTAGCTTGTAGTAAAGTTATCTTTAAGAAAGCAATAGTATGTCATTTTTTTCTGCTTTCCTCTCCTTGATGCTTCTTTCTCTGCTCCTCCTCCCTCTTCACTCACGACTTTAATTTGTGTGTCATTGGGAAAAGAGTTAAGAACTCCCTTGTCTTGCTCTCACTCTGTCTACCATCCTACCTGCACTTCTACATATTCTGTCTGATAGCTCTTGGGTCCCTATAAAATATGGGGACCTTGCTCATGTTCCAGGGCCGCCTTGTTACTGATGCTCTGCACCCTTTTCTTTCTTACTTCTGTAAAGATTTACAGTTGATTAAGCCTCCTGTCAATGACTGAGCACTCCCTCTTCTTTCTCTTGAAATATCCATTTCTCCCCCTTTTCTACAAAAGAATATAACATAGTGGCTCAGCAGTGGGCACTGAAGAGACCCTGCCTTGTTTGACCCTTGCTTCCCTTTTTTCTACCTGAATAGACCAATTAACTGAACTATTAGCTTTGTAGAGCATTCAACTGAATTTCTCTGAGTTTCACTTTCCCCATCTGTAAAAGGGGCTAATAATAGTATGTACATCATGCGATGTAATTAGCATGACATTAAATAATGCCTGTGAAATTCTTAGAGCAGTGTCTAGGGCGTAGGAAGCGGTCAGTAAATGTTACTTTCTCCTCTTCCTTCTTGTCTTCCTCCTCCGCCACCTTCTTTTTCTTCTTTATTATTATTACTGTTATTATTATTACTTTACAAATATGTTGTTGAATCTCCTTTTGAGGATAAAAAGCTCTCTCATACCGTCTCTCTCTCCTGCTTCATTTATCCACTCCATATTTACAGAAAAACTTTGTTAAAACCATCACCATAGGTTCTCCACTTCTTCGCCTCTTCTGATTAGGTCAACTCACTCCAGAGGCCACTCGCAGAGGCTGTTCTTCCCAATGTCACCGAGGACCTTCACATCAGCAAGCAGTGGTCGCTACTCTTTTTCATCCTTACTTTCAGCAGCATTTGACACAATTTGCCACTTCCTCCTTTGGGGAACATTTTCTTGTCACAGCTTCAAGAATATTTTATTTCCCTACTGCCTTCTGCTCCTCTAGGCTGTTCCTTTGGTGATCTCTACGGCTTGACCGCTGTGTTGGCATGCACCGGGGCTCTGTACCCAGGGCACTTCTCTGTATGTATACTCTCCGTCTTCGAGAGCAGAAGTAAATGTAAATAACAAACTCTGTAAAAAATCGTCTGAGTTTATATGACTTGACTTTGCCCACAAGATAAAAATGAATCTTTATGAAAAGGATTGCTTTTAAGATTCAATAGCAGTTGTAGAATGTTTTATCCATGGGCAATTAAAGTGAACAATACTGGTTTTGTAAAAGAAGTGGAACACATTGATGCTCAACACCACACAAAATGAACACACACACATATGAACTCATACTCCTCCCCTGCATAGAAACTCGATCCTCACCCCCAGCAACCACAATGGAACTAGCAAATGATAACCATAGGATGTAAAAACAATATTTTCTGTAAAACTGTACCATAATTGAGAACTCCCATCATTGATTTACTTTTCAAAAAGATTTTGTAAATGAAAGAGATGAAAGATGGATCAATATGGTCGTAGAGTTGAATTTCTTTCTTCTCTCTCTCCCATATCAATTATTCATCCTCCGAGGTAGTCACATTATTTCATAGTTAGTTTTTTACATGTCTAAGTCTTGCAGCACATGAAGACCTTTCTTTCCAGGCAGAACCTCAGACTCACTTACCTTTGTGATTTTCTACATAATGTTTGGTACATAACATGAAAAAATATTTCTTGATTGAAAAAATGAAATAAACTCAGTATGCGTGTAAACATTTATAGTTGCATCCCAAATAGCCTTTGGTGTTGGTACAATGAATGGAAAGGGGAAAATTTTACCAGAATGAAATGAAATTCTGATTCTGATTGTTGTTAATTAAATTAATGATTACTATAAAAGTCTCCTCACTGGTCACCCTCCTTTGATTTTTGCTCTCCTCTTAAGCCTTTACTGACACATTGACAATAGTGAGCCTCTTGAAAAGCAAATTTTATCATGTCACTCTCCTACTTAAAACTTGATGGCACCCCATTGTCCTTTGAAATAAGTCCAAAAGCCTCAATAGGACCTAGAAGGTCCTGTATGACATAATTTCCATCCCACACCTCCAGCTTCATCTCAAGCCCCTCTCCTCACTCCTGGCTTGTTTCATTGGCTTCCTTTCCATTAATTGCTGTGGTGTTGGCTGACTGCCTAAGGGTTCAGAGCTCTCCTCCCTTAGTAAAATTCGAGAAGGGTCTATATCAGACATGGAGAAACTTCTAGTGACCTGGATTAGAGAACAGACACAAAAGTGTACCCTTTTCAGCACCATGATGGTCACTGCCAAAGGAAAAACCTTGCTTGCATACAATGTCGAAAGAAAAGGCTGGACCCAACTATGATGTTGAATTTACTGCTAGCTCTGGTTTGTTTAAATGACTCAAGAATTGTTATTCATTACACAATGTGAAAGTGAGTGGTGAGTCTGCTAGTGCTGATGTGAAGGCAGCTGAAGAATTTTTGGAAACTCTAGATAAGTTGATGGTGGGGGAAAATCACTTGCCAGAGCAAATATTCAATATGAATCAAACACCACTATTCCAGAAACAAATGCCTGAAAAGACTTTCATTCATAAGCAGGCAAGTAAATGCCAGGTTTCAAGGCTTTTAAGGATTGGGTAACAGTCTTGCTTGGGGGAAATGTTGCAGTCTATAATTGAAACCTTTTGTGATTTGGCACAATAAGAAGCCCAGAGCCTTCCAGCATATCAATAAGCACACACTGCAGTGAATTATAGGAGCAATCAGAAGTCATGGAGGGCCCAGCTCCTCTTCCAAGACGCCATCCTGAATTGCTACGCCCGTGAAATGGAGAAGTACTGTTTGGATAATAATATACCTTTCAAGATTTTGCTTACTGTTGATAATGCTCCCAGATATCCTCCTTTTACTGGTGATCTTCATCTGAAGATCAAAGTGGTGTTTCTCCCTCCAAACACCTTCTCTTTGATACAACCAATGGATCAAGGAGTTATAGCAGCTTTGAAGTCCTACTACCTGAGGAGGACCTTTGCCCAGGCTATTGCTGCAACTGAGGAAGACACTGAGAAGACACTGAAGCAATTCTGGAAAGATTACAGCATCTATGACTGCATCAAGAACCTTGCTTGGGCTTGGGGTGATATCACCAAGGAGTTTATGAATGGCATTTGGAAGAAGACATTCAAGAGGTTCATCCATGACTTCAAAGGATTTGCCAAGGATTAGGAGCTTGCAAAATTCAACATAGCCGTGGTTGAGAAGGCAAACAACTTTAACCTGGGTGTGGATGGGGATGACATTGAGGAGCTCCTAGAGGTGGTTGCTGAGGAATTGACTAATGAGGCATTGTTGGAACTGGAGCAGGAACGCATAGCTGATGAAGAGCCAAGAGAAAAGGAAACTGCAGGAGAAGAAAAAGAGGAACCCCCAAGAAAATTCACAGTGAAGGGTTTAGCAGAAGTTTTTGCCGACCTCAACAAGCCCCTTAAAAAATTGGAAACCATGGACTCCAACACCAAAAGATTTTCATTAATAAAGAGGAATGTTTATGTTGCATTATCTGCTTATAAGCAAATCTATGATAATAAAAGAAACAAACTAAGCAAACCACCATGGACGTGTTTCTGAATGGATATGTCCTGGCTAAACACTTCCTCGAGAAGAGCCTCGGGCAGGTCCTTCAGGAGGTGTTCCAGAAGAAGGTATTGTTATCACCGGAGATGACAGCTCCATGCGTGTTATTGCCCCTGAAGACCTTCCAGTGGGACAAGATGTGGAGGTGAAAGACAGTGATTTTGATGGCCCTGACCCTGTGTAGGCCTCGGCTGATGTGTGTGTTTGTGTTTTAGTTTTTAACAAAAAAGTGCAAAAAGTAAAAAAAACAAAAAAAAAAATTTTTTAAATAGAAGAAAGCTTGTAGAATACAGATATAAAGAAAGAAAATATATTTGTATAGCTGTATAATGTGTTTTAAACTAAGTGTTTTACAAGAGTCAAAGTTAAAAAAAAGTAAAAAGTTTATAAAGTAGAAAAGTTACAGTAAGATAAGGTTAATTTACTATTGAAAAAAGATAACTTTATTTTCATAAATTTAGTGTAGCCTAAGTGTATAGTGTTTATGAAGTTTATCATATTCCAACAATTGGTTTCCATGGGGAAATTTGCTACTCACCAAGGTATGATGAGATTGCTGGGTATTTGCTTTGAAAGAATATTTCTTTCTCTTTCTTTCTTTCTCTTGCTCTCCTCTCTCTCTATTTTCTATTCTGAAATTTCTATTTTCTCTCTCTTTTACATCTGTGTCAAAAACACATGTATATATTTTTATTTTACAAGATTGGGATAATACTACATATGCTGCTCTATGAGAAACATTTTAAAACTTCACACATTATATTCAATCCCCATATTCTTACATGTTTTTATAAAGAACAATTACATACCTAGACACTATTTTAGAGTACAGATTTTGATAATTTTTAAGCTTTACTCAATTGAGAACATTTAGCCTATTTCCCAGCTGTTTGCTTATAAGACATAACAAATTGCTATGAAAATATTTGGACAGAACACTCACCATTCAAGTTTGCGCGAGGGTTAATGATTGACCAACTAAGAAATAAACTTAGGGGTGGGAGAGAGTTCTCGTCCCCAGAAGGTGCTCTATTCTCTGGCAAATCCTGTGTCCCCCTGAAACATGCAAAGGATTCAGGATGTGTTGGGGTATGAAAGGCTGACACAGCTCTTGCCCACCATGAAACTGGATGGCCGAGTCATTACAGCTATCCTCTGTGGCTGTGGAGCTGGCTTCCTGCTGCGGAAATGGCTCTTAAGGAGACAACTTCGGAAGAAGATTGCCAAGGCCCAGGAGCAGAGAGCACGCTTGCTGGAGCAGATGAAGTCTGCAGTGCGCCGCTTCAAGCATAAGGTGCGTTTCGAGCTTATATGTCCATTCAATCATTTACTCATTCAGCAAATGTTTGTGTAGCGCTTACTTGGGTCGGTCAGTACAGGAGCTTCTAGGTGTATAGGCTGAGCAAAACCAACACAGTTCCTGCTTAATGGAGCTTAGTTTTGAGAGAGAGACAGATATGATTCAAACAATCACATAATAAATCTATAGATACAAATTGCAATAATGCATGAAGGAATGAGAGAGGCTTTCAAGTTCGTATTAACAGTCGGGAGGCTGATATAGTCTAGGGAGTCCAAGAGGGCTCTTCTTTGAGGAAAGACTCAAAGAAGATGTAGAAGATAAGTAGATGAGACATTTAGTGGTTGGAGGGTATCATAGAATTAATGCGAGTGGTGGAGGAAAATCATTCCAGGCAGAGCATGGGCAAAGGCCCTGAGGTAGAATGAAGTCTAGGATAGTCCAGAAAGTGAAAGACAGCTAATGTGGCTAGAGTACAGATAGTTAGCCTTGGGAAGGTGGCTTCTATGTACTTCAGAACAAATGATCACCGGATCATCATTTACCAAACAAACAAGTGACTCCTTTACCACTTGCTGCTAGTCGTCAGGATGTAGACACACATACACACAAATATATAATTTAATTTGATACAACAACATATGAGGTAGATATTAATATAAGTCCCTTGTTTCAGATGATATAACTGGGGCTCAGGGAGGTTAAGTAACTTGCCAAAAGTCATTCAGATTGTGAGTGACAAGCTTCAGGCTGACAAGTTCAACTTCTCTGACTCTAGATCCTGTGCTCATAATCAGAATATAGACCTCATTAACTTTATTTACTTCAGTTCCAATGTAAGTGGATAGAAATAGAGGAGAATCTTTAATTGCTCCCATATTTTAGAAATGTCTTAAGATTATTTTCTCTTGTGGAAACTTGGACCTGAAATCTCAAGAAATCCCTTCCTTCTCCTTTTCTCCCTCACTACAAGAGAAAGTGCCAGTAACAACAAGTTATGCTGACACGGGATACAGGCCAGCTATTGCTTCCATCTGGCAGTTTATGAGGTAGGTCACTGTACAGATGGAAGAAGAGAAGCCATACTGGAATTCCGTTAGTTAATTATTAAGTCCCTATAACATTTAGACGTTCATCTGGAAATAATACGTTGTTTTATGGATAGAGTTTCATTATAAAAATTAGCAAGTAAGAAGATTAGATAAGGAGTATGAAGACGAAGAGGTAAAAATATTAGGGAGAAAAGGAATGATACCTATGAGGAATTACTTATGCCCCAAGACATTTCTTATGTAGAAGATTAAGAAAGCTATAGAAATTTTTTTCCTCCAGTAAATGTTCATCCTCTGCTAGGTCTTTGTTATGTTTGCAGAAGGGTAGCCAGGAAATTATGTTATTTTTTAACAACACCACCCTGGAGTTTGATATAAGTATAGCTCCTTTTGGAGCACCACTGCTCTTTTTTTGTGCCCTTAAATCCCTCTATTTTCCTGGGATCCTCAGAATGCCATTCCCAGACACTCACTGACACTCTTTCTTTTCTCCTATCCTGAAAATTTGTTTGGCAGAAATTACTACCCCTATTAACACTGAGGAATAGGTGATTCATTAAGTTTAAGGGAGCTGTCTCTAGAGGCATTTGTATTTTACCAGAGGATGACTACTTAAAGAATTTATATTACATTGTGGAACTTTAACTATTGCAAGTTGTCTAAAGTTCCATTGGTAAATCAAAAAGTCTGTCTGAGGCTCTTGAGATCCTGTGTGTTAAATATGACCTGCTGTCTATTTGTAATTCCACCTCTATCTAAAGCTACCAATGTTACTGATTTCATAATTACTTCATCACATAAATATTTGACATATAGAGGAAACTGGGGAACACCTGTAGAAATAAATGTTGATTTGTCAATGATATCACTTCCCTTAAAGTAGCAATCAGGAATAGAGGTGGAAAGAAGATTCTTGTATCTTTTCACCTCTAACAGTGAGTAGGTTTCTTTATAAATAGGCCTCAATATCATCCACTTTTTCTAGAGCTCATTTGCTAGTTATTTTTTGTATGGGAAATTTTTTAACTTACTGATATTAATGCTACATCCCTCCAGCTGTACTTAATCAATTTCCTTTGGACTTTTGCCTCAGTAGAGAACAAGTATATATGAATAAAAGTTTCTAAAGTAAATATGAAATGGCTGTGTAACACTGGTTGTTAGTATTATGGGTAATGCATTTATAATTAGGGGGATAGAATCTTCAAAATATTTTTCCCATTAGTAACTGGAATGTAATTTGTTTTACCTACCATTGATCATTTTAGTGTCAATTGTATCTGTTTTAACATAACCTTATACAATGTATATTTCTGACACAGACTCTCTGGTATATGTAAGTGGCACATTTGACTCTTAGAAGAAAGTTTAGGCTTTCCCTTTCTCACTCTTCACTTTGGAGGGCTCTCTGGCCCTGGGAAGGCATTCTCTGTCATGCTGTTTCAAGGATGTTGTTGTAACAAGGAAAAGTCGAATTGTACTGCGTGTCATTTAACAGCAGTCATGTGAGGCCACACTCTGTATTGTATATTTGCAAAATATGTCAGTGTTACTGCTGACAGATCGTTGAAGTAAAGTGATTACATATTAAATTTAAAACAAGAAACAAAAAAGACTCTGGGCTAGGCCTTAGGAAGAAACGTGTCCTTCTAGGTCTTTCTTGGATTTGCCACTCGGACTCTTCTTGCCTTCCATGAAGTAAAATATTGAGGCTCAAGGGCAGGGAGGATGCTGGGAAGGAGTATCCAAGGAAGCAACTTCACCAAGGAGGCTTGACTATATATGCCCAGCTCAAGGGGTTCCACAGAGCATTTGGGGTTCAAAAGAAGCTAATAACAAACAATGACTTCATTTGGAATTGTTCCTCTCTACATTACTCCTTAACCTATGCATTATGAATGATTACTAATTAGTTTATTATTACTTATCTACTTAAAAGTATTTACTTCTGTATATACTTCTTGGTTTTTGTATTTGGCTTAGAAAAACACACATTTCATTTATCTGTGAAAGTGTACATGTTTTTCCGACAATAGATTGCAAAGTCCTTGAGGGAGGGGCCTATCTTTCCTGGGTATTTCCCACAAAATACAGCTTAGTGTTTTATACTTAATATTTATTTAGCAAAGATTTAATATGTGGTGGACTAGTGACTGATTGCTTCCTCCACTGTAATGTCTCATCCTATCTTTTCATTTTTCTATAGCATGCAGATATCCAGTCTGAGTCTATCCTCTCTCTGTCACTGCTGGAACTGAGTGAGAAGCTCCGGGAAGGTGCCTTGAGCCCAGAAAATGTCCTCTACACCTACATGGAGCAGGTAAGGGTCATGTGAGTGAAACTGTGATTGACAAAGCTTGTGAAGGGAAACCTGGTTATCTAGAGGAGAGGAAACCTCAGCAATTACTGGTGGTTCTAAGTATAAGGGTCTGGCTCTTACTAGAGTAGTACTTCAGATGAAGAGATGGTTTACAGAAGAGAGAAAACATTAGTAAATGCCTAGACATAAGATCTATGGGGGACATTTTAAGGATTCAACTGGAGATTGAAAAAATATACTATAAGGAAAATAGACATTTTCTGTAAAAGATTTAACCTTAAAAGTGACCTTAGGGTGGGCTGGCCCCATGGCCTAGTGGTTAAGTTTGGTGCATTCCACTCTGGTGGCCTATGTTGGTTCCCAGGCGTGGACCTACATCACTCATTGGCAGCCATGCTGTGGCGGCAACCCACATACAAAATAGAGGAAGACTGGCACAGATGTTAGCTCAGGGCATATCCTCCTCAGCAAAATGACCTTGGATGAAGAAAAACAGTTTGTTATACATTTAAAAAGTCTGTAGATTATTTCTTAAATTTTTGAAAATTTCATTTGATGGAAAATGAACTGATGGGTAGACATAAGGAAGTAGATACTGGCTTCAATATAAATAAGTGATATTTGTAGGTGTCAGAAATTCTAATGGGTCATCTTGGGATGAAAGACATTCGTTATTGCCCAAAGGAGATTTTGAGATAGAATAGAAATGACCGGTTATGAGGGATTATTCAAGGCTTTCCTGAATAACCTCTAGAGCTCTTCCCAAACTATAATTTTGTGAAATGAAAAATTCACTATTCAAGAGGAGATATTGTGGATGTAATTGTCTCTTGAACTCCTTGTTCCTGGGTGTTTTAATGTTATTTTCTTGTTCCTTCTGTGGATAATGATGAAAAGGCACTAAAGGTAAACAAAGAGCTGAACTGCCTAACAGACTTTATTCCAGACTGCGAAGAGCAGCTTAAAGAACTTCCTAAGGGAAAAGAAAAGGGACTTCTCTATGGAGTTCCCGTCAGCTTGAAGGAGCACTTTGATTACAAGGTGAGGCTCCGTTCTTCCTCAAGAGATACCCTCCTCCCACAAATGGAAATTCCTTTATTATTCTGCTGATTATATATTTTTTATTGATCATATTAAATGAAACATTCAAACAAATATAAATGTATAAAATTAAGGTTTTTTTCTACAACCAATTTACTAACCCAAGAGAACCAGATCTTTTTATTTTTATGCATTTATGTGTATAATTTCGTATATATACAAATAAATGTGGTTACACTTCTGTTCCTCAGTCTGTGGTTTGAACTAAAATGTATTGTGAACACCTTTCCATGCAAACACTTATAGGAATATTTCATCCTTTGAAGTGACTCCAGAGTATTCCATTATTTGAATATGTCATAATTTACGTAATGAAACTCCTACTGATGGATGTGTAGATTGCTTCCTTTTTTCTTTTTCTTTTGTTGTTTCTTTTCTTTCTCCACTCACATAATCATTTCTTTGCATCAGTGCTTCTCAGACATTTTGGTCAGGACCCTTGTATACTCCTAAAGTTATTGTGAAAAAAATTTTTTTTTAGCTGCCAACGTGTGGCTGTGAAGAATATAATGACTAATACAGTTTGGTGCCACTGCCTTGATTAATGGTAGGATATTAGCTATTTTATTGCACCCCTTGCTTTTGACCATTAGTGCAAATATCAGCACAAACCAAAAGATAAATGACATTTTAATATTATCATGAAAATAGTTTTTACCTTACCAACTCCCTGTAAGACTCTTGGGGACATAGAGAAGTCAATGGATCACTTTGAGAATCATTGCCTTGGACAAATGACTGAAAATGGCTTTTCTGTGTTAAATGGTGTATTTCTAGATTGAAGGGTAGCCCTATGACTAGACTCTTCACTAGGTATCATCTAATGTAGAAATCAAAGAATCATAACCACAATTTATTTGAAGACATCTTCTAGAATACTTGGCCGAGTGTGAGGAATATGAAGCAGAACCTTAATAGGATTCCCAGTGAAAAAAAAATCTGGATTTCTCTTTTTGCTGTTCGCAGCAGGTGGCATGGAGGGGAAGGTGAACACAAAGCTCTCTTTGGTGTCTGACTGAAACAATATACCATTTTCCCTTCAAACACTTTCCTTTGTACCCCAAAGTTCATGCTTTCCGATTAGAAATCAAGATCCTCTACAACCTTACTTCAACCTACCTTTCCAGGCATACACCTTGTGCTCTTTTGCACATTCTTTTGCCTCAGCTAAACGGAAATATTCCCTGCTTTTCTAAGCGAGATACTCTTTCCTACTCTTTGGTTGCTTTGTGGTTTCAGTCTGGTATTACCTGTTTGAACGAAACAAATCCTCTCTGTTCTTCAAGCTCATCTTAAAGAGAAATTCTATCTGTGAAGCCTTTGTCATGGTCTCTACCAAAGTGAAGATATTTTGTAGAAAAAAATAAGATTCACGTACACAACAAATGGAAAATAGAACAAGACAACCTTTATTGCCACCTATCCTGCAACAAGTTTCTGCCTCTTAGTAGAGCAAGACAACGTGCCATCTTCTCACATACAATGTAGGATATTAAAAGACAAGAAGAGTATATTATCTTCATGCCTCTATAGCTGGTCAATCTCTTGAGTAAATTAAGGAAAAATGGTGCTTGAAGCTAGAGGAGTGCGAAGTTTATGACTGTACTACAGCCTAATTGTATATGCCTCCTCTGTTTTGTATGAGTTTCATTTTCCCTAATAAATTCTTTAAATAGAGACTGTGAAATCTATTTCCACTGTATTCCATAGTATACGACACAGTACATACAAGATGGCATGATTTCTGCTTGCTTGGTATCAAGTCTCTGATTCTCATGTCTGTGAGCTAAGTCAGGACTAGAATATTCATAAAACTTAATATTGGACACTTAGTGCTTAACCTGAGGGTAATTGAGAGAATGATGATTCAGCAGATCGTTAGTCCAGTGCAAAATTCTCATGCTCCTATCTTGTTAAGTAAATAGCGTGATAGATAAGGGTATTGTGTCAATTGCCTGGGTTCAAATTCCACTCTAACACCATGTGTGTGACCTTATGTAAGTTTCTTAACTTCTCCATGCTTTGGAAACACAGAAAATAACCACAACTATTTATAGAATAATTGTTTGACTTCAAAGATTTAACACACATGAAAAGTGCTAAGAACAGTATCTGGTTTCCAACAAGTAATCACATATCGGCTGGTAGGAGTAACAGCAGTAGTAAAGCAGTCGTAGCAGTAGGACCAAGAGAGGATTCTCACCTTTGCTATTGTCCCTGCACGAAAACTCCAAACTAAAGGACCTTCAGGAGAGAGAATAATCACAGCCTGAAGCAACATTTTCCATGTCATGTCTAGAATAATTTTTACATGGTCATAGTAACTAAGTAAAAAAGATACAATCATCTTTAATGTTCATAATGGAACAGAGAGATCCTAGATATAAATCCATGGGATAATTTAACTTCCAATAATTCTGACTGGTTGCAAACCTTTTTATAATTCTTATCTTTTGATTAAAAAACAAAACAGTAAATGCTGAAGACAGATGCCCAGATAACCTTACCAATGCATGATCAGCCTCTGATTTAAAAAATTAGCCAGTAAATAACTCAGAGGAAGCACAATGTTATAAAATGGAATAAATTTAAGTTTTGGGGTCAGGCATTAAATTTTGTCTTCACCACTTATTGTGTGACTAAGAGACAGTTATTTAACTGCTTTGAATCTCAATTTCTTCAGCTGCAAAATGTGTATAATAATAAACACTGTATAGAATTGTTGTGATAATGAAAAGTGTTAACATTTTAAGCATCTAGAACCTGGCAAATATTGGACACTACTCAAAAGTTGATATCATTCTCTTATTTCTTTCAGGCTATTTATTTATCTATTTATTTTGTTTTATTTTATTTTTTTTGTGAGGTAGATCAGCCCTGAGCTAACATCCATGCTAATCCTCCTCTTTTTGCTGAGGAAGACCGGCTCTGAGCTAACATCTATTGCCAATCCTTCTCCATTTTTTTCCCCTAAGCCCCAGTAGATAGTTGTATGTCATAGTTACACATCCTTCTACTTGCTGTGTATGGGACGTGGTCTCAGCATGGCCAGAGAAGCGGTGCGTTGGTGCGCGCCTGGGATCCGAACCGCGGCAGCCAGTAGTGGAGCGCACGCACTTAACCGCTAAGACGCGGCCGGCCCCTCAGGCTATTTAAATTATTATTTGATTATAAATAGCTGTGTTGTACATTGCTTTAAAATATAAATAAACAAATATATAAACATATCACATACATACATATACAAACACACACTAATGAATGCAAGCTTGTGGGATCCTGAGCACAAAAGCACAAAAGGGCAAGAATTTTTAAAAGCTTTTCAATGATCACTTATGATCTATCATCTATCTGTCTATTTATCATCTACTATCTACCATCCCTTTATCTACCCATCTACCAAGCCACCTACTTACCTAACTGTTATCTATCTACCTACCTACCTATCCTGTGTTATTGGAGAAACTCAAGTGTAAGCCATGATTTTCATGTATAAGCAAAGACTACCAAATAGTATGCAATGTATTTAGAAAATTATCATAAGAACTGGTTGAAATTTCGAAGTCTCCTAATGACTTGGTGTTCCCTGTAGAATCATGTCTCTAGCTGTGGCCTGGTGAGCTTTCTTGGAATTCCTGCAAAAGATGACTGTGTGATTGTGAAAGTGTTGAAGAGCCAAGGGGCCATCCCCTTTGTCAAGACCAATGTTCCACAGACCATGATCAGGTCAGAGCCAAGTCCACAACAATGGGGAAGACTGGCTTTCCTTTAGTCTGAGACAAGCTCTTGACTCTCTGCCTTTGTAGGGCCAAAAGGCAGCTACTTTTCATATACTATGAGTTTACAACTATGTTCTTCATATTTAAAGTGACCAAATTGTGATCTGAGTAAAAGTGATGTTATGAAAATCCCAGTTGACAGAGTAACTGAGTTTAGGTAAGGAACCCTATAGTTTCATACACCAAGAAGAATATGAACCACAATCGCTACTACCAAGGACATGAGAGAAGAATGGAATGGGCCTGGGGCAACAAACATTTGGCTCACTGGTCCTCAGAAAAACAGTTGGTACACACCACACTAGACATTCACAGATTCAATCTCATACTGTTTAGACAAGTCGAGGCTTAACCATCACATATAGTGCTCCTCTTATAAGTATTTTTAGAAAAAGAAATTCATTAGCCTCCTTTGCTCATTTGTACCACGTCATAGGAAACCTTCATGATTTGGAAATTTTCATGGGTAGCAGTTTATTCTTTTCTTAAAGATGATAAGTACTTGTTCTTACCTTTATCTTAAGATCCTTCAGATCCTTCAAAATCTTTACTACGTGTTTTCTTTAGGAAGGGTGGAAAGTATCATCTCAGCTTTAAATGGAAATATAAATAATGTGAAGGGTATAAGAGGGTAGTGTATGTAGGTATAAGAGAATTTGGAAATGTAAGGGTATTGGAAAGAAATCTCAGCTGCCATGGGCCTAATTTCAGACCTTTGATCTCTTTCAGCTACGACAGTAGCAACGTGATCTTTGGAAAGACTCTACATCCCCAAAACCCCAAGAAAAGTCCTGGGGGTTCCTCCAGTGGGGAAGGAGCACTGATTGCTGGAGGGGGTTCTATCTTGGGCTTGGGCAGTGATTTGGGTGGAAGTATCCGCGTACCTTCTAGTTTCTGTGGTATTTGTGGTTTCAAGCCTACGGGATCTAGACTGAGGTAAGCTGACATAATACATCATTTAAAGGGTGGGAATTAACTTAAGGTTTTTAATAAGGTGGAGATTACTTATTTTGGCTCTTTCTACATTCTCCTCTCATCAATAGATTATCCATAGTGACTCATGCTCAATTCAATAGCATCTAGGCAAATAATTTAGTCTTTTGTCATTAAGAACTAGATACTTTGCCATCTGAAGTCAATCCATCATCTTTGTGAAATGTCTCAGTCACTCTGTAATTGGGGGCTATCACTGGAATATTGTTAAATGAAGACTGCTTTTTATGCTCTGTGAGTATTAGTAGCTTTCCTAATCTTGGGCTGGTATCTCTTAGAACAAGAGGGATACAAATATTGTCTTGATGTGAGGGGAACAGTATCCTGCTTGTATTAATTGCAACTGATTTTGCCAAAGACTTACATTTTGCCAATTGTCAATACTACTCAGGCTTTTGCATAGCTAAGTCTGCGTAGTTAAGTCTCTCTTAAAGTAAGTCTAAAACTAAAGAATGACCTTTTCAAGTTGACCCTGAAATAAAAGTAAACAAGTATTTTAAAGATCAATGTCCACGATGTCCCAAGTCTTGTTTGGAAAAGGAGTATGTTTATTAGACCCAGGTGATAAAATTGGTGACATTTTGGCTTCTTTTTAATAATGTTGGACAGGCCTACTGTGAGGATCAGGTAAGCTGTAAAGTACTATACAAATAAAGTATTGTCTATTAAACTGTGTTCCCAGAATTAGTCTAGTTTCTATAAATCAACCACTTTTCTAATGTGTTTTAGTCCCACAATAATGGCTCTCAAGGGCAAGGAAGAAAAAAACGTACAGATTGATGGGAGCAGGGTTTTCATTTTCCTAATTGTCTGGTGAATTCTAATAATGGGTCCCCAGACAAAGCCTATTTTTTCATTTTCCCTGAATGGAGTTTGCCCATATTTAGTAAGGGTGAAATTATTTTTATATATTTATTTTACCCTGACTACTTAATACACATCGTGTGGTTAATATTACAAACTGCTGTTGGTTAAAACAAAAGCAGTGAGCCATACACAGAACACTGACAGGTGATCTATTTGATACCCATCGATCACTTGTCCCCACTGCTAGTTTATCTTAGTGCTTCATTCCTTATCCTGTTAATAGAAATATTTTCTTAGTAGATTCTGCAGCATGCCATGATTGTTTTTCTATTTTTTACAATGTTTAGATAGTTGCAGCCTCTTAACAAAAAAATCTAAATTCTCTGTCCATAATTCAAGCTCAGTAGATCATGTTGATCGTTGCACGTAAGTGAAATTGCTACAATGAAGGTCCTCTTTCTTTTCATTTTTTCCCCATTTTTTCTTTTCCCTTTATTTTCCTATCTCAAGGAACTTCTTGTCTGTTAAGTTCTGAAATATAAGTTGAGAGCTTATTTTTCCTAACTATTCTTTTCCATAACCTCCTTCCACCAAGCTGAAAACTTCTTGAGGATGGAAACCATGTTGTTCATATTTGAATCTATCATTTTAGTTGCTTAAAACCCGTAAGTGCTCGATAATTGCTTTTGGGATATACAAGTGATTGAATAGATTATATTTAATAAATAATAGAAAAATTAATAAATGAATAGCATTAGTCTCTAATACTTAGCAAATATATATTTTATAGCTTGCTTGGCATGTCTGTTCCCATGGACGGCATGGACACTGGTAAGCCCCTTTACTGATTTTAAGTTTTGTATCAAACACATCCATATGAAGTCATCTTACCCAGCCACACATAGTTCACTCTTCTGTAAAAAGTTAAAGAAGGGTAGCTCTTCCAATGTTTCTTGACTCGAGATCTGAGTGGGGAGGCTCTCCTATGTCTTTCTTCTATACTTTGACTTATTTCTGTATCCCTAGTTTCTCTCTGAGTAGCTGATCCATAACAGGCATTCAATATATGCATATGAAAAGACTAAAGACAATTTAAAAATCGTAGATCTAGAAACCACCATATCTATTTGCTTTCTTTGTGAAAGTATATCCCAGACTTTTGCAAGTAGGTCTTGATATGGATTGCCTTTGAGCTTCAGTACAACAATGAGACTCATTATCATGGAATTTTAAGGTCCCATGATGGTGTTAAAAGATGAGCTTAATTAGGAACTCTTTTTTCAATCAGTTATACCCAAAATAAAATTTTAAGTAGGAGAAGAACAGGAGAAGGGCTAGACCATGCATTTGGGCAGACTGGAAATGTTCAGATACAGAACATGTGGAATTTGATATAATTGCCTAAGAAGTCACTTTTCCCTGGAATGGAGAATAGCTGAGGGACGTTAAAGAAAAACACCCACCAAAACCTAGGGGATTCCTGAGACAGTCATGGAGTAACAGAAGCAGGAGTGTTAATCCTCACTCTTAGGGTATAGGTAAAGGCATCTAGAATGTGATTTTCTTCTTTCACTTTCAGTGACTGGTACCTTGGGGCCGATGGCCAGGGATGTGGACAGCCTAGCCTTGTGCATGAGGGCACTGCTGTGTGAGGAACTATTTCATCTAGATCCCTCAGTGCCACCTCTCTCCTTCAACGACGAGGTAAGGCAGAGCAATCAGGTCCTCTTGGGAGGTGAGTTCTTAAGATGTTCTACTCTAGGCAATGTAGTCCCCACTAAAATGGGAATCAGGGTTCAGATTCAATCCTAGTTTGTATTATTGACACATGAAGTGAAAAAATTGGGGAAGAAAGTCTTGATGCACATTGTGCCTCAGTTTTCTTAATTTGATCATAGTGGAAATGCTCCAATTTTCCACCTATTCCAGAAAGATGAATGAGTCAGAATTACTCCACCCAGGAGCAAAACTGCCTGAATTTGAATACCAGTTTTGTCACCAACAACCTGTGTGACCTTGAGCCAGTTACTTAATGGCTGTCTGCTTAATTTATTCATTAGTAAATTGGAGCTGTTCATGGTACCCAACTCATGGCATTGTGTTGAGGGTTATATGAGTTAACACGGTAAGTGCTCAACAAGTATATCAAGTCAGAAGAGTTAATGTCAGTGAGTAACTGGGACTTGCTGAGTTCTAGAACTACACAGCCCTCTAGAGTTCTCATTATAGAACAACAGCTTGTGTGTCATCCAGCAGAGAGCCCTGTTGGAATGAAATGCCCACTAGGGGCACAAGATGTCGCAGGACTCCTATGGGAGCTGGCACTAAGGTTGAATAGGGCTTCCCAGGCACTGCTCCACTTACTCACTGTGATCTACCTTTGACCTGTCTTTCTCTTTAACCTCTGGAAGTTTGCCTTGTATCTGGAAAACAGGGCAATCTTTCCAGTCTCCTCCAAGTAGCTAGTCTAATCAGCTGGAAGATACTGAGGTTGACCTACCTCTCAGCTGCTCTTGCCTTGGGTTTGAGGCATTTACCCTGCCCCAGCTAGAATCCGGTCATGGCTGTTATTTGGCACTGCAGCTTACATTTTCCAGTTGGCTGCTTAGGGTTATGTTGCTCACTGGTAAAGGCATCAAGTGGAACTAACTGACATGTTTGGGAATTGAACCTGAGAACTTGGCCTTCGTCATTGTGCTGGGTAATTCCAGTACTGCCCAGCTTTTGAGAGAAATGATTATTTTAGAGTTATTATATCATTTCTACTAAAAATAAAAATAATAGGCATCATTTGTGAGTGTCTCCTATATGGTAAGTAGAGTCCCATGAATCCTATAGTAACCCCAGAAGTTAGATGTCATTACCGAATTTTCAGAGGCAGTTAACAGACGTAGAATTTAAGAAGATTAAATAATCTGTCCAAATATAACCAGTAAGCAGCACACGTGGGATTTGAACAATATATTTTGTTAAAGTCTTTCTCTTTCCAATTGACTGTAACTAATAATGTTTTCTTAACCATATTTTCCTCCCTGTGATATGTTCAACTCTTCTCGTAGGTGTACTCCAGCTCCAAGCCCCTGCGTATTGGCTATTATGAATCAGATGGTTTTAGCCAACCAACTCCCAGTATGAAGAGAGCTGTCCAGCAGACCAAGCAACTATTAGAAAAGGCAGGACATAAGGTAATCAATTTCGTATGACTCTGGCCTAAGGAAAAGAGCCAGCTCAAACGTGGACTATTTAATTAGCCCATAATCATGCCTCTATTAAGTTCATATGCCAATCTTTAGGCATTGTTTTAATTCATTATTAATTGGTTAATTTGTTAAACATCAAATATCAGTACTATGCTTACTTTGTGTCAAGCTCTCAGCTCGGTCATACGAACAATATAAGCAGTATCCCTGGTCTTTTATAGCTTATATTCTACTTGAGCAAAAATGGACAGTGAGCAAACACATATATAAGTAAGTATTACAGAGGAAAACTAAGGCAGTAATGGCGATAGGAAATTCTTAGACAAGAAAGTGGTGAAAATTAAGTAGGATGGACAAGCAAGGCTCCTTGACATTTCTAAAGCCTGAAGAGTGAGTCGTATGGACAACTGTGGGAAAATTATTCTAGGCAGAGGAAACAGCAAGTGCCAAGGCCCTGAGGCAAGGTCTTGCCTAATGTTTTCAGGAAACAGCAAGCAGGCCAGTGTGGATGGAGTGAAATATGAGTGAGCAAAAGAGTAGTAAGAGATGAGGAGAGAGAAATAACAGAAGGGCCAGACTGTATGGAGCTGTGAAAGCTATTTTAAAGAATCTGGCTTTTAATCCAAGTGCTATGAAAGCCAGAGAGGGATTTGGATCAGAGAAGCAATATTATTTGATTTATGTTTAAGAAGGATTACTTTGGCTGTTGTGTTGAGAGGAGATGATGGGAGTGTGAAAAGTGTTAGAATCCCGGTTAATTTTTGACTAGAGCCCAAGGACTTCCTGATGGATGGTAAGTGTGGTATGAGAATGAGAGATGTCAAGGGTAACTCCAAGGTTCTTGGCCCAAACACCTGGAAGGGGGTAGTTGCAATTTGCTGAGGAGAAGACAGTGGGAGCAGAGAGATTGCAGAAGTAAGGAGGTCAGATTGGGATGTGTTAAGTTTATGATACCTATTACACATCCACGTGGAGAAGTAAATAGGCAAGTTTCTGGAGGTCAAGAGAGAGAGCCAAGCTGAAGATGTAAATTGGGGTCATCAGCATATAGATTATATTTAAAAGGTGTGAGAATTTACGAGGTCTCTGAAATACTAAGTGTAGATAGAGAAATTCCAAGTTCTAAGGACTGGGAAAATACAGAGCTATAGTAGGCATTAGCCGGAACTACTAAAGTTAAATTTTAAATTAATTAAAATTAAATAAGATTAAAATTTCAGTTCCTCCTTGCAATTGTCACATATCAAGCCTCAGTAGCCACATCCAGCTGGTGGCTACCTAATTGGAGAGTTCAGCTATACAACATTTCCTTCATGCAGAAGATTCTACTGGGCAACTATTGTAAAGGATGGGAAGATGAGATTCCAACAAAGGAGACTAAAAAGGAGCAAGTGTACGATCCTGGAGGCTAAATGAAAATGGTCCATCAGGAAGAGTAGAGCAATAAAGTGGGCCAAAATGCTGCTGATAGGTCTAGCAAGATGAGAACTGAGAGCTGGTTTTAGATTAACCAATGCAGAGGTCACTAGCAATTTCTCTTCCGTGGTTGGAGCAAAGATCCGATTGGAGTGAGTTCAAGCAAGTATGGGAGAAAAAAATGAAAAAAAATTAATATTAACTACTCTTTCAAGGATTTTTGCTCAGAGCAGAGAAAAGGTGCTCGTAGCTGGAGGAGGAATATGGGGTTGGTAGAATATTTTGTCTACTATGAGAAGATTAAGCATGTTAGTATGTGTTTTCTGTTGGAAATCATCCAGAACGAAGAGAAATACAGGAGAAGGGGTGAAGGAGAGAGAGAAGGAAGGAGGGAGAATATATAACTGGAAGAAGTCCCCTGAGTAGGTGAGAGGGGATGGAATCTAGCATACAATTATGGTGGTGAATTAGATAAAAACTAAAGAAAAGTCAGACGACATGGACACAAATGAGGGTAGGTGGTTAAATATGATTACGTGATGTTATGGAAGTTCTCTTCTTATTATTCTGTTTTCTCAAGAAAATAGGAAGCAAGGTCACTGGCTGAGAGTAAAGTATTGGAGGCTTGAAGAGAGAGGAAAAGCATAAAAGAATGATTTGGCAAAATGGGAGAGTGAATGGACTAGGAAATGTAATGCAATTGTTGGATGTACTACTGAGCATTCTCTTATGGTTAATGGATATGAATATAGAGTGAGAACATGTAACACGGATATATATTTTAGTCCAGCCATCTTCACTTGCATTTTGTGGGAGGGGGTAGAGAGTTGAATTTAACCAGGATAAGCAAGTACCAAAAAGCAAGAGAGTTCAGATTATAGAACAAAGGTAGTTGGGGCCAGCCTGGTGGTGTAGTAGTTAAGTTCACACACTCCGCTTTGGTGGCCTAGGGTTCACAGGTTTGAATCCCAGGTGTGGACCTACGCACTGCTCATCAATCCATGCTGTGGTAGGCATCCCACATACAAAATAGAGGAGGATTGGCATGGATGTTAGCTCGGGTCCAATCTTCCTCACCCAATAAATTACAAAAAAAAGAACAAAAGTAGTTATTATAGTGATGTATTATGAATTTTAGGCTGTGTCATGTGGAAAGCGAGGACATGATGGTGATAAGGGACAATGTAGTGGTGGTAGAATCAGTATATTATTGTACTTGTTGGTGAAATTGAAATATGTAGCAAGTGGAGTATCAGTGGGAATGAACGAAATGGGAGAAAGACAGGAGATGAAAGTCAAAGAACAAAATGCTTAAACCAGAGATTCTGGAACTGTTGCAGTTATTGGTAATGACATGCTCAAGAGTGTGACTGTACGAGTGAGTAGCTAAGGTCTGATGGAAATCAAGATAATCAGAGAAGAGAAGGTCAAGGAACCAAGACACCAGGATACTGGAAGAATTGTTGATGTGACTATTGAAATAACCAAAAATAACACAGGTATTGTATTGAAAAAGTGATTGATTGTGAGCCAGTAGTTAAAACCTATGATGCTTGTATTAGTTTCATTCATTAAAGCAATATTTATTTATTGAGTACTTTCAACAGAGTACTATTCTAGATCCCGGAGATAAAATATGTATGATTTCTTCGCTATTGGAGTTTTCCAGCCCAAAGAATACAAGGTGATATTAAAATAAATTAAATCTCAATTGTATTCTTTTCATCACTGCTTGAAAGATTGGAATAGGAACTCCGTGGGCTATTTTATCTGCAATTTCGTTTATTCTGGATGAATTATCATCTGCTTTGTTTGTTTTGTTTCAAATTTTCAGTGGAATAAATATAGCGCCTTTGAGAATATGAAACTAGAAAAATAATACCATGAAAATATTTCCTTTGGTTACACCAAATATTTTTACCATTACGTGAAAGTAACTTGTTCCCAAAAAAGATCCACAGCCGTAAGAAAATAATTATTAGCCACATAAATAATAATAAAACAATAGAACATAAAGAAACATTTAAAATAGACTCTGTATATTCTAATTTTATAATTCTTTTCTGGGTAATGTGTTCACAATTACAATAAGAGCCACTGCATCTTAAGTTATGTTGCTTCTCTCACATCAATCATTTTCTACATGATTTTTAAAACATTTATCCAGTTCCCTTTTTTTTTCTTATAAAAACCTGATGAAACACACTGTTCTTGAAGGTATGGTTCTTCTGTCTTTAGTAGTGGAGGCTTAGTGCCTACACTGAATTTCCAGGTGTACTTAATAAACTTTCTGTCTCTCTTTGAAGGTAAATGTCTTCAATTTTTAGAAGCTGTTCTTATTTTATATAATAAAAATGTTAGTTTTCCTACTTAATAAACACACATCATTTCCCAATATTTGTTAATATTTCAGATTATACTTCAATAATGAGAAAGACAGTGAAATATGGCCAATACTTGGGAGTCAGGAACCATCATTCTTAATATTCACCCTAGGCCCACCATGAAATTTCACTTCAACTCTCTGAGATAACCTCAATTTGAGATTTTAGTATGATTTAGAGCCTAGTGTGACAACATTATGCAGTTAATAATTCTACTATAGTATTGAAGAAGTCACATCAGGCGGCTGTGATGTCTAGACTAGCCATTCTAATTTTCACTTCCCCTTCCTTTCTCCCTCTCCTGTGCCACCGCAACCCCAAGCTCATCCTTTCCTATAAATCAAGGTTTTATTACAAGATAAATGAACTACGTTTTTACTAAAGATATTTCTCTTACCCGCTCTTTGTTCTCTTTAGCTCATTCCCTTCTCTGTTCCACGAACTGATCACATGGTTTATGAACTCTTTTTCGGAGGCATTTTTGCAGATGGAATAGAAACCTTACATGATGTGTTGTAAGTTACTGCTGTCTGAGAGGGCAAAAATTCTGGTTAGTTTGCAGAAATTTAGGTCCCCGGGGGAGGATTACTTTTTAAGTTTTGTGGCTTTCATTATTTTAGAAGGTCAATTTTTTTTTATGACTGGATGAAATGGTCCCTAGGGAGGTATTAGGAAACCTATGCTTTGGCGTTAATCCATTAGTGTGGTAGTCATTGGATTATTGTCACTTCTACCACCTATAAAATGAGAACAAGAATCTTACATTTTGGTAAGAAATAAATGATAGACCTGTAGAATTGCCTTGAAAGTTAAAGTCTTCAAATAGTACAACTATTACAGTCATTTTATAACTACTCTAGGGTACATATATATGTCACTCTGCTCTCATCATATATATAAAGAACCATAATGTGGAGCACAAGGTGATATTTTGTTTATATAAAATTAAGTTTGTGGGACTGCTTGGATGAGCAGAAACATTTGCAATAAAATACACAAAGGACAATTGCAATCTTATCTCAGTTTTAGTCTCCAAAGTGTTCATTTATTTATTTGTTTGCAAAATATGAAGAAAACTCTATATCACACAGATCAATAATTATAAATGGCAGTATTTTAAACTCATTTTTCCATGTCAGGAAACCCACCAATTAAACTGAGTTGACAAGAAAAGATTTTATCTGAATCAGATCCAACATGAGTTTGTCTAGCATTAATGGACTTCTGATAGATTAAATTTACTAGATCACACATTTGAGTGTGTATGTTTTAAACTTTAAAATATAGCTGGGTTAACTTTAAAAAAAATTTGAGTCAATTTTCTGCAAGATCCACATGGCATTTCTGTGGAACTAACAGATTCTGCATAAAACAAAATTTGTAGTTTCTAAGACAGTTTATTATCCAGCTTTCAAACAAAAACAAGTGGATCTGAGAACTGGTTCTAATTAAAACATCTGGTAAAGGCCTATTCCTGTCATTAACACCTGTTTTACATGCAAATAAATCCCATCCATCATTAAATCTTCCAGATGGGGAATTAGAGAGGAGGAGTTTTCACTTAGTTTACCATTGAGACCACCTGGCTTGGCAGTGAAAAGACTGAGACAAGGGAAGGAAGCATTGCTCTATTAGATTTGGGGGCAAGAGGCCAATTTTCCCTAAAAGTCTCTCCTTTCTTTTGCTAGGAAAAATGAAATGATTGATCCTTGCATAGGCTATCTATTCAAACTGAGCTCTTATCCAGCACTCATCAAGCGGATTCTCTCCTTCCTGTTAAAACCCATGGTGAGTAGCACAACATTCTCCTTTCCCGCTGGGATAGCTGGAGAACTGAGTAGAGAAGAAGAGGGAAGCTTGCTACTCAAGAAAGACGTTTTTGCCTCACATTGCCTGCCTCAAGTTAAAGCTTAGGGCAAGTTACAACCAAAGACGCTCTCAGGAATAAAAATAACTTTTTCAGGTTGAAATAACCCAATACATAGATACAAGGTACTGCCTCTTTGGGAGTCCTTACCTCAAGAAACTCCAGCGCCAGGGAATAGAGTTTGTTTCCTATTCTGATACTGGCAACGCTTTGGAAACAATCGCATTGTGGCATCTAGATTTACTTGGGTCTGTGGCTTCAGATCTAAGGAAATTCATGAAATGAACAGGGTGATTTTACTGTGACCCTAGAGATTTGGGTCTACTCTAAGGCAGGACTTAAAGGAGGAAAGGGGCCACTTCAATTTGAATAATCCCTCCGTTCATCAAAGAGAGGTCTAAGATAAAGGGAAAATCCATGAGCCATCTATTTGGACCAAGTATTTCCCCCATATTTTGTTGTCCCTCAAATAATGTGCTTGCCTGTAGGTTTGTCTTAATGTAAACTCACTGCCCTAGGGCTGCGAAAGCGCCACACTGACATTTTAGGAATACGCAATGAAGTTTCCTTCACTGGGGTTGCTTTAGTGGGGTGATGGTTTTCTTTGGTGTTTAAAAAATCTCCCAGAGTCAGTTGCAGTGGGGCCAGCACAGCCAATCAATGAGCCGAGGGTGCTTACATAGCCATGCGCAGTTCTAAGTCTACGGCTTTTGCATTCTTCTAGGAAAAAGCAGATGGAAAGAAAGTTGTTTTTTGAATACTGACTATTTGATGACATGTTTGTCTTTGAGAATGTGGGCTTTAAACTAGAAACATCAGGTTTATCTTTGTAGAAATTATAAAATTGGACCAATTATTAGCATTGCCACATGCAAGAAATTTCTGGATTTGTACCGGGTATCTAATAGGTAACAGAGAGGAAACTTGGTTACGCCTCAGGTGTAAATCATTCCGCCCTCAAGATTAGGCAATATAATCTGGGAAATGATTCTCTGCTGTCTTCTTCTCTGTGCTCATATTAAGCAAGTTACCAACCACTCCTCCTTGAAAAAATGATTGATTAACCACTTTGGCATTCTTGAATCCTGATGATTATTTTCATTTTTTATATTAATGAACTTTATTTTTTAGAGCACCTTTAGGTTCACAGCAAAATTGAGTGGAAAATACAAAGTTCCCATATACTCCCTGTCCCCTCACACACAAGCTCCACTTCTGTTGACATCCCACACCACAGTGGTGCATTAAATATAATCGATAAATCCACATTGGCACATCATTATCACTGAAAGTCCATAGTTTACATTAGGGTTCATTCTTAGCATTCTATAGGAATTGAAAAATGCCTAATGACATGTATCCACCATTGCAGTATCATACAAAGTAGTTTCACTGCCCTAAAAATCCCTTGCGCTTTGCCTGTCCATCTCTCCCTCTCCTCTAACCACTGCAACCACTAAACTTTTTACTGTCTCCATAGTACTGCCTTTTCCAGAATGTCATATAGTTGAAATCGTACCATATGTAGCATTTTCGTATTGGCCTCTTTCACTTAGTAATATGCATTTAAATTTCCTCCATGTCATTTCATGGCTTGGTACTCATTTCTTTTTAGTACCAAATAATATTTCATTGTCTGGATGGACCACGGTTTATTTATCCATTCATCTACTGAAGGACATTTTGGTTGCTTCCAAGTTTTGGCAACTATGAATACCACTGCTATAAACATCCATGTTTATAGCATGGATGTTTTTGCATGTTTTTGTGTAGACATAAGTGTTCAACTTTTTTGGGTAAACATCATGGAGCATGATTTCTGGATTATACGTTAAGAGCATGTTTAATTTTGTAAAAAAATTTGCCTAACTATCTTCCAAAGTAGCTGTATCATTTTGCATTCTCACCAACGATGAATGAGACTTCCTGTTGTTCCACATCCTTGTCAGCGTATGATGTTGTCAACGTTTTGGATTTTCGCCATTTTAATAGGTGCATAGTAGTATCTCAATGTGGTTTTAGTTTGCATTTCCCTGATGACACATGAGGTGCAGCATCTTTTCAGATGCTTATTTGCCGTCTGTGTATATTCTTTGATGAGGTGTGTGTTAAAGTCTTTGGACCTTTTTTGTTTTAATTGAGTTGTTTGTTTTCTTATTGTTGAGTTTTAAGAATTTTTTGTATGTTTTGGATAACAGTCCTTTATCAGATGTGTCTTTTGCAAGTATTTTCTCTCAGTCTGTGGTGTGTCTTCTTATTCTCTTGATACTGTCTATTGCAGAGCAGAACATGTTAATTTTAACGAAGTCCAGCTTCACCTTGTATAATTTTTACTTTCTCAACATTGAGTATATCTTTGTTGCAGTTTTTTTGTAGATGTTCCTTATCCTGTTGAGGAAGTTTCCTTCTATTGCTAGTTTGCTGGGAGTTTTTGTCATTAATATGTATTGAATTTTGTCAAATGCTTTTTCTTCATCTATTGTTATGATCATATGATTTTTCTGTTATCCTGATGATGGATTACATTAATTGATTTTCGAAGTTGAACTAGCCTTGCATACCTAGGATAAATCCCACTTGATTGTGGCAGATAGTTCTTTTTATATATTGTTAGATTCAATTTGCTAATATTTTGTTGAGGATTTTTGCAGCGATGTTCATGAGACATATTGGTCTATAGTTTTATTTTCCTGTAATGTCTTTGTCTGTGTTTGGCTTTAGGGTAATGCTGGATTCATAGAACAAGTTAGGAAGTATTCCCTCTGTTATCTTCAGGAAGAGGTTGTAGAAAATTATTATAATTTTTCCCTCTAACATATGGTAAAATTTACAGGGAACCCACCTAGACTTGGTGCTTTCTGTTTTGGAAGGTTATTAATTATTGACTTAACTTCTTTAATATATATAGGCCTATTCAGATTGTCTATTTCTTTTTGCGTGAGTTTTGGCAGATGGTGTCTTTCAAGGAATTGGTCCATTTCATCTAGGTTATCTAATTTGGGGACATAAACTTTTTCGTAATATTCCTTTATGATACCTTTAATGTCTACGTGATTTGTAGTGATGTTCTCTCTTTTATTTCTGCTATTAGTAATTTGTGTCTTCTCTCCTTTTTTCTTAGTCATCCAGGCTAGAGGCTTATCAATTTTATTGATCGTTTCAAAGAATGGCTTTTGGTTTTATTGATTTTTCTCTGATGATTTCCTGTTTCAATTTCATTGATTTCTGCTGGAATTTTTATTATTTCTTTACTTCTGTTTATTTTGGATTTAATTTGCTCTTCTTTTCCTAGTTTGCTATGGTGGAACTTTAGATTATTGATTTTAGATCTTTTTCTTTTTTAATTTATGCAGTCAATGCTATAAGTTTCCCTCTAAGCACTGCTTTTGCTGTATTCCACAAATTTGATAAGTTGTGTTTTCATTTTCATTTAGTTCAAAAATATTTTTAAATTTCTCTTCAGCTTTCTTCTTTGACTCTTGTATTATTTAGAAATGTGTTGTTTAATCTCCAAGTATTTGTGGATTTCCCAGTTATCTTTCTGTTATTGAGTTCTAATTTAATGCCTTTGTGGTGAAAGCAGACATTGTATGATTTTTATTCTTTTAAATTTGTTAAGCTGTATTTTATGACCCAGAATATGGTCTATCTTCAGGAACTTTCCGTGTGAGTTTGAAAAGAAGGTGTAATCTGCTGTTGTTGGATGAAGTAGTCTATAGATGTCAGTTATATCCATTGATGGTGCTGTTGAGTTCAACTATGTCCTTCCTGATTTTCTGACTGCTGGATCTCTCCATTTCTGGTAGAGGGGTATTAAAGTCTCCAACTGTAATAGGGAATTCCTCTATTTTTCCTTGCAGTTCTATCAGTTTTGCCACATACATTTTGATGCTCTGTTGTTAGGTGCATACATGGTTAGGACTGTTATGTCTTCTTGGAGTATTGACCCCCTTAAAATCATGTGATGCCTCTTTTTATCCCTGAGAACTTTCCTTGCTCTGAAACCTGTACTGTCTGAAATTAATATAGCTACACTTGCTTTTTTTTTGTTAGTGTTAGCATGGTATATCATTCTCCATCCCTTTACTTTTAATCTGTCTATGTCTTTATATTTAAAGTGTATTTCCAATAGATAAAATATAGTTACGTCTTGTTTTTGGATCCACTCTGACAATCCGTCATTTAATCGATGCATTTATGTTTAAAGTGATTATTGATATACTTGGGTTAATATCTACCATATTTGTTCCTGTTTTCTACTTGTTGCCCTTGTTCTTTATTCCTACTTTTGTCTTCTACTCTTTTATGCCTTTGGTGGTTTTGATTGAATATTTTATATGATTCTATTTTTCTCTCCTTACTTAGCATATCAGTTTATTTCCGGTTTTTACTTTTCATGGTGGTTGCCCTAGAGCTTGCAATATACATTTACAACTAATCCAGGCCCACTTTCAAATAACACTACACCGCTTTACAAGTAGTGTGAGTACTTTACAATAAGAAATAATCCTAATTCCTCCTTACTGGTCTTATATCATTGCTGTCATTCATTTCACTTATACATAAGTGTATGTGTGTGTGTATATCTATATAAAACATGAATATATTCTTGCTATTGTTATTTTGGACATACTTATCTGTTAAATCTGTTAGCAATAAGAAAAATTAAAGTTTTTATTTTATTGTCACTTATTCTTTCTCCAATACTCTTCCTTTCTTTATGTTGATCCAAGTTTCTGAAATATATCATTTTCCTTCTCTCTGAAGAACTTCTTAAACATTTCTTGCAGGTCTACAGGCAACAGATTCTCTCAATTTTGTTTATCTAAGAAAGTCTTTTTTTCTCTTTCACTTATGAAGGATAATTTCACAGGATACAGAATTCTAGGTTGGTGGGTTTTTTCTACCAACTGTTCAAATT